AATCACGATTTCCCTCCTGAAAGGTTCCCATCTTATTCACCTTGCCTGATCTGGTGGGTCCCACAGCACACCTCATTTATATATTTATTTATTTTTAAGCCCATTCACCCAAAGGCCAAAATTCCACTGACCTGTCCGTCAGTCTCAGGGTCTTTTCTGATAGAGAAGGAACAAAGCAAAAAATAAATAAATAAATAAATAAATAATCTTCAGCAATCTTAAGCCACTAAAATAAGTATTTCAGTTTAATCAGGTCCTAAGTGTATGAAGGTACCCAGTAGGGCTGTTTGGGTTTCATATGGTTTGATTTGACAAAAATAAAATAAAAGAGGGGGGAGGAGGGCATGTGCAAATATCCAGTTATTTATCCTCTATACTTCTGAAGCAGATCAGGTCATTTCTCCCTCCTATAGAGGATGGCGAGAGGACAAATACATTCCCTTTCAGAACTGCAAATTTCTGTAGCTTTCTCAACAGCAACAGCTATCAGGAATTTGACTATCTTGACAGTTGCAGAGAAACAAGAAAAACAGAATGCAGTTTTACAACACAGTTAAATTGGACCCATTTATTTCAAAATGGAACTTAGCCCCAGGATACAAGAGCAATCCAGAAGTATCTCAGAGAGCAGGATAACAGATAATCTCCAAGACAAGAGAGTTTCACTCAGCTCCCAGAGAACTCTACAAGGTATGACTGCTTTCCACGGTGTCCTTCCAATGATATGGAAATCATCTAAACAGAACACAAAGATGGGAATAACAGCAAATGCCTAAGTATCAAGATATTGGACTCCAGATCTTTCTGTCAAATGCCTCAGATCCATCTAAAAGGATCTTAACTTGAAACGTCATTCATTTAATTCATCTCCAAAATAACCCCTACAGCTCTCCTAGGCTAGTTTCCTCCTTCCCTTCCAGCATAACAGACATATTTGCAGTCACGACAGAGCTGCATATATATTAGTTAAGCACAAATGTTTATAGCAAGAAGCAAGTCATCCCTTTGCTTGAGGAATGAGCTATGAAAAAATTGTTGGGAAGTGACAGTACTGCCAAAATATAGGTCTCTGCACTATAGCTGCATTTGTTATTTCAGAGTATACAAACCACATCAGCAAGTTTCAAAAAGCAGAAGCCGCCTTGGCACAAGGTAGTTTTCCCTACTTGTGTGCAGGTACGCTTTCAAGGAAAAGAGATTTGGTGGCAGGGAAATGGGTAATAAAAAGCACAAATGCTATCTTCTTCCCCAGCAGCATGCAAAGTCAAACAGAATCGGGGACAATGAACAGACTCCTGGGAATGTCACAGGGCACCTTATCAAATCTTGCAGCCTACAACGAAAGCAATAGAAACTGAGGCTAACTATACTTTCTGGAGCTACAAGCAACACAACCCATGGTCCTGACTTCCATACAACAGGTATCTGTGTGGCTGTCAAAAAATTAGCTCCAAAACTTTGCTGGACACAGATCTCAGCTCCACAATCAGCTATCCTTTCTCTTATTCCAAAACAAAACCAGTGCCTGAAACTCTCAGGCATTTTTATGTGGCTCGGAATAGTGTTGAAAAATTACAGAGCTGGTCAAATATCCAGATAGGAGATCAGTGTAATGCCTCATAAAAACACACCATTACAACTATGGAAGTTCTCCTCAGTGGCTTGCACAACTGAGACTGAGGGCATAATATCAGAACAAAGGGTCTCATTCTTTTCTTTCTGAGGAAATTTTTGTAAGCAAAAAAAAAAAAAAAAAGGTGACCAGTAATGCTTTCTGGTGCAATGTCTCTGTTAGGTTAGCACATTACCCGCAGCAAAGGGAACGCAGGGAATGCCTACAGAACTGCAAGTATTTTTAGCCCTCTTTTAAAAAGCCATTACAATCTTTTGTACTATTCTCTGAAACACAGTTAGTATAGCAATAACAAAACTATCATAAAACCATAGGATAAAATACCTTAGCCTTAAGGGTTGAATTGCATTTTCAGTATTTTTATTTAGAAAGAAAAACAACACTGAGTCAAACCAAAGTTACACTATGGTTTCTATAATGAGATTTCCTTAGATCTCAAAGCCATGAAGCAAAGGTCACCACACTGATATTTCATGAAAGCCTGCATTTAAGGCATTTTGAATACTGTAAAATATATCTGCATTTGTACAAAAGTCTCCCCCAAAACTCCTAATGACACTGTCAGCAGGAGATGGTCAGTCAGTGTTTCTAAGATCTGTGCAATGGTCAAAGCAAATAAAATATGTTGGAAATCTGAGCCCAAGGGCACTCTCTGAAATGTAGTTTCAATACATCAATATGTACTTTTTCTTTCTCATATAATCACCAGCACTTTTTCACCATAAGCCTGTTGTTCAGAATTGTTCAAAAATGTCACCGTACTGGTCATTGATGTCAGTTGCTCAAGAGTGATTTATCCAAGTGTTTGGCTGAACAGGTCATCATCCAAATGGTACATAATAAATCAGAAAGCACTTGACAATACTGCTGTTACAATAAGTATCTAAATGCTGGTGTTGCCAAATATGAAAGTTACCAGGCATTTCCGTAACAAAGTCCCATTTCCAGTTACTTGCATCTTTGTCCATCTGTTCAAGATGAAGCTTCCATGCTAGAATTCTGAATTACTTTTGCACCAATTTTTATTTTAACAGTAATTTTTAGCCAGCGCAGCTTACCTGTTGCAAGTGCAGGCTGATGTACAAAACATACTCTATCTGTTAAGAAGAATAATGAGAATGCAGGCTGCGAGAAACAAACACTCATGTTTTTGAGAAACCTTCGCAACCTTTGGTGAAGACAGGCTGCACTTAAGGTTGCAAAACACACACCTAGATTAGTTCAAGGGTACAGCTTTAGAAGAACTGCTAGTACTACTGTTTGTTGGATATTATAAGCACAGAATCTGTGTTTACTAATTAAAACAAAAACCCCATGGAATCCTCCAGACAGCTGAGGTATCAAACAGGAGAAAGAATGGAGAGTTTTTAAGAACCCACCGCTAAAACAGAAGCACCATTTAGGCTGACTAATGTGGCAGTTCTGGGCATATTACCAATCCCAAAGATCTTTATATAAACTGACGATCAGCTACAGTCCAAGCGCAAAGTTCATTAGTTTACATCTCAGAAAATAACAGGTGAGTACCTCCGGGAATCAAAGGCTACACCCTAACAAACCTACAACAGCAGAGGAAGTAACTGACAATCTCTGGGAGCTTGGAAGTTGGGTTTTTTTTGTTTGTTTGTTCTTTGTTTTAATCACATGTCAGCTAAAAGTGTTAAAAGTCTACTAGCAGCACTGCTCAGGCACACAAGCATTTCCTTTCCCAACTGCACCAACATCAAAACTGCCATCCCTCACGCAACTACACACGATGATGATAGTGAAGACTTCATCCACCATTAAAAAGAAACAAATATGAGGATGAGATGCAGAAAGGAGCCATCCTCATTCCTCTAGAAAAGTCTGTAACCTAGATACTTAAAAATATTTATTTAAACCATCTTAGCGTGATGAATAGCCTCAGACAGCTTGCACACCAACATATCGAGAGAAGCCAGCGAACTGTGGCAGGTATAAATGACTCATGCCTGAATTCAGAACTAAACACAAGCTCTGGCACTGTACGGTGTTCACACTGTCATTCACATGCTTAGAAACTGGTTACTTTGAGCAGAGAAGGCTTTTTGTAAACAAACATTAGTACAAAGACTCAAAACCAGGGAAACACACACTCCAAACATACAAGAAGAACATTATTTGTTGCACTTATGGAATGCAGAATAAATGTGCAACATCTTAAACAGCATGTTAAACATCAGCAACTGGGAGGGCACTCAAACTGAGGAGATGGTGAGTTGAACACCAACAGAAAGACAAAGACTCCAAAAATAAAAGCAACAATTAAAAAAAATCAGCACAGTGCCTCTGCAGGTACCAGATCCTGAGGTTGTTTTTAAATAAGAAATTTGGACCAAAAATCATCTGTCTTCCATTCCCTCTACGGAAAACACCAGTGAGCTCACATTTTGGATCAATTGATTAAATGTGCTTCTCCATGTCTAGTAAGAGCACAGATAATTTACAGCAAAACAGAGAGAAAATTCTATACCAGCAGTGAACATGCTTTAGGGTTTCCTTCTCCAAGAAAAGAAAAACAACAACAAAAAATAAATCTTCAGTGTCTTTTTTTGCCCAGAACCATTTTGAGTCATTCTCTGTAGAGCAACATGCATGTCTTACACAGGCAGAGCTTTCTATTGCTGGCTTGATTAACAACCAGTGTCTCTCAGTGACTGCTGAGCTGTTGCTCATGCTGGTTTCTTTTTGCTCTCCAGAAACGTGGAGAAACCTACGCTGAAGACAATACTCCACAAGAACCCACTACTTAATTGCCCAGCTAACTCTCAGTAAAATCCCAAGGCCATGACTGTGCAGCACAAGTCAGCAAACACAAACACATAATTATTTAAATACCAAGTACTGCAACTCACACAAGTCTATACTTCATCTACACAGAAAAATATATATATATTAAGTTTTGTTGTATTTGTGGTGCATTTCTAATAGTGAAGAGGGTAACTTACTGATGGGCATATACCAGAGAAGCACAGTTAGAAAGGTATCTCAAGCCTCAGACATTTATCAGAACTACATTTCAACAACTTAACATAATTCAAAGTGGATGTATGTGGGTATGCACCAAAAAAATACTTCCTCCCCTCTCCCCCCGCCCCTTCCCAAACAATACAAAGGATTTTTCAAAGCTAAGCAGCCAGGAGAACTGCATTAGCACCAAACGTGTTTTTTTTTAAACCATATGGGGTTTCATAACCATTATCACTAAGTAAAAATATTAATTACAACAGGCCTGGGTCCCCCAGCATGGGAAGGACATGGAGCTCTTGGAGCAGATCCGGAGGAGGGTGGCTAAGATGACTGAAAGTAGATGATCATTGTGGTCCTTTTCCAGCCAGGCCATTCTATGATTCTGCATGATTATGATTCTCTATGATTACCACTTATTTTCCTGTGAACACATTAAGACATTACTCTGTTAGATATCAAGTACTGATATTGCTAACGGGACTGCTGACTGTCCAAGATGATCCCACAAACATGTCAAACATTCTTGCTGTTCCAGTCAAAAGCACTTTAGGAAATGATGCTTCAATTAATGATGCTTCAAACTAGTTGCCTGGGGCTTTTGTGTTCCTCACACTTTATCTAGAAATTGAGTGTATGTGCCCAACAACAGATTATCCTCTATGGCTTAATGTGTATGAACAACGCAAGAACAAAAAGCTATCTAGTTTTGATTGGTTTTGTTGTTGATGGGTTGTTGGTTTTTTTTTTGTTTGTTTGTTTTTGGTTGTTTGTTTTTTAGCATCAACACTCCACCTCTATTTAAATACAAGAGAGTAACAAAAAAATCCATGCTATACAATGCTTACCTAGCTGCCATATTTTCACCTGACCACAAAGAAGGAAGTCTGCTTTTCAGCGTTTTCATACCAGCAAAGATATCAGCATCATCTCAAATACCACACAAGCTTCAATAACAACATTTTACTGTGTGTTACTGCTTATTGCTAGGCTGTTCTGAAGAGATAGCTGCACAGTATCAGTTGTGCTTAATTTCCCACAAAACATTTTCTCCGGGATCCACTGTTCTCTACAACCACTGTTTGAAGGTGCACTTGGTTCCCACAGTCATAAAACAGCTTGGCTTGGAAGGGACTCTTGTAGACCATCTAGTTCCATCCCCCTCCCATTAGCCCAGGTTCCCCAGAGCCATCCAACCTGGCCTTGAACACTTCTGGAGATGGAGCATCCACAGCTACTTTTCCCTTCCCTGTTATGTCACTACACTCCCTGGTAAGGAGTCTCTCCCTATCTTTCTCCAAAATGGGCAACCTCAACCATCAGCCTTTCTTCACAGGAGATGTGTTCCAGCCCTCTGATCATATCTGTAGCTCCTCCACTCCAATGAGTCTGCTTTTCTTATAATTAGGGCCCCAGAGCTGAACACAGTACAGCTCGCGGTGTTCCCATAAAGAGTAGAGCATGACTATGACCTCCCTTGCCTTGCTGTTCATAGTTACCTTGATGCAGCCAAGGATATATCTGACTTTCTGAGCTGTAAGTGCATGTTGCTGTCTTCATGTCAAGTGTTTCATCCACTTGTAACCAAGTCCTCTGCAGGGCTGCTCTCAATCCATTTATTCCTATTCCTGTACACAGGTGCAGGACTTTGTACTTGGCCTTCTTGAACTTCATGAGGTTCACACAAGCCCATCTCTCAAGCCCTGTTCCCAGGTCCCTTCCCTGTGAAAGGACTACACCACTCAGCTTGCTATCCCATACAAACTTGAGGGTGCACTCAATCCCACTGTTCACAACAAGATATTAAAAAGCACTGGTCCCACTATGAACCCTTTGAGAAATACCCCTAATTACTGATCTCCTACTTTGATTTGGGCTGTTGACTGCTACTCTTTAAGTGCTGTAATTCCTTTAATTCCTTGTCCATCGAACAATCTACCCATTAAATGGATGTCTTTCCTGTTTAGAGACAAGGATGTTACGTGGGTTTAGGGAGTGATGTTTGGATCCACCCCAGCTGACTGAACCATAATGCATTTTTCACAACCTCTGAAAAAACTGCACATTTGTACTTTACCTGGCTGCTAGAAGTACTGTTCTCATCCTTCCCTATCACAGTTGATGAGGAAGTTGTAGCACTACAAGACTGGCACCAAGTAATTGCTTCAGGAGCTTCCTTCTACTTTAATGACTTAGATCCCCATGACTTCTTTTATCACCTCAGTCTCTGGAAAGCATCTAGCAGCAGCTATCCAATGAGCACCATCCTAAGTTTCACAGTTCTTCAATTATTTTATGTCAGACACTCTCCCTACTCCACCAGAATCATGTTGGAAATTCAACAATTAGGCCATCTTGAACTACATCAGCTTACTTCCAACCGGATTAAAAAAAAAAGTCATGTCACATAGCAGTGTCTTTCTGCAGACTACAGTCTCCATTTGGAGACTATTTAAATGCCTAAGAGGATATCTTAGGCAGTCTCTGGCATGAATGGACAGCCTTACCTACACTTTTAGCCAAGCATTATTTTGGGACTGCAGATTTACTTGTATTTTTAGTGCTAAAGACATGAATGTTAATTCACACTAAGAAACCAGCCACCTCATTATGGAGTATTGCTCCTAGTACATAAGGTTTTCACAAGCATCTGAAAGGATAAGCTTATTTTCCCCATTTATTGTGTTTCTCACAGCAGAGATTTTCAACTTAGCTTGAAAAAGACAAACAGCACTTACAGACTGCCTCGTGCAAGCAGGAGATAAATAACTTTTCCTATTATTCTTTAATATGTAACTAAAGAGTAAACAATGACTCCAAAAAAAAAAAAAAAAAAAATCAATCTGTGAAAAGACAGCATCTCCTATAAACTGCTCTATTAGTATCACATGCCTCTTTCACTATGACTTTTTTTTTTTTTTTTTTTTTTCCCAAACTCTACCTGTAAAAGAAAAGCATTTTCCTGCAAGGATGACAGTCTTGAAGAGGAAGAAGTCTTGAAATAAAAACATCTTTATTAAATCCACAGCAGAGGCAAAGTAATTCTCTACGAATTTGGACCTACTGAGGGAAAAGGTTGAGTGGGGAAATAAAGGTGACAGGTGGGTGGTTGGACTGGATGATCTTAGAGTTCTTTTCCAACCTTGGTGGTTCTATGAAAATGAAATGCTGATGAATGAAAACTGTTGGCAACCTGATCACACAACAGAACAGATTATGTGCAAAAGAGCAGAAAATCTTGCATTCTTTCTCAAGCTTCTCAGATAGTCTTCTATGGAAAATAGTTATTACAATATTGCAGTCCTGTATTAACTGAATATTAAGGCAGGACTACAATATTCCAGTGCTGCAAAAACTAAGGCTAATTCTATAAATTCAACTCTGTTTCTTTGAACATGTCTGTTAGAAGGCAGAATAACCATATGACAATGTACTAAAAACACCATCTTCAGTTCTATAAAAATACAGAGCAGCTTTCCCCACATCTAGCCTAATGTAGCAGCCAGCAGTCCCAGGTGTCTGTCAACTCCTGTCATTCTGCCATGCCTCAGTAATGCCAGCAGTGGAGTTCAGCTCTTCTTGCTTTCTAGATTTTCAAACAGATGTGCAGACAATGGCATTCATTTTCTCTTAGCTTCTAGTCTGACACACTCACTTTACCTTTTGTGCTCTGACATTTTACCTCCGTAATCTCCATCTGTTCCTCCCCTACCTCAGCTATCTATGCCTGTCCTCTTTCTTACTAGGCTGAGAAGCATCTTTGTTTTATTAATGTATACGTCTGACTTAAATGCTCCTCAACACCTGTCTGCCTTTCTCAACTCCTAAATTAAACAACTCCTGACTAACAGTCTGTTTCCTCTGCCAGAAGTTGCACCTTGGCTAAGTAAGAATTTGTCATTTAAAATGAATGCAGTTATATTTCAAAATTACAAATATCCAAACACATTATTATTTCATCTGCTGCTCATTTCTTCTACCCCAAATAGTATTTTTATTTAAGGGAAAAAAAAAGAAAAAAAGAAAAAAAAAAGAGATACGTTAGAGGTCAGCATTAAACAGGAATAGTGATTTTACAGCTGAGTTCGTAATGCAAAGAGTAATTGCCAATTAAAGCTAAAAGGCTTAGAGAAGTGTCAGTCCTAAAGAGAGTAAAATCTTGATCAAACAAGTTTAGATAAGACGAACTACGCTGGCATTAGACCACCTCTTCATTGATTAGCTTTCTCCTTTAGAAATGTCCCATTACAGACTCCAGCTCTACAGATAATATGTCCTTTTTCCCCTTGCTCTTCTATTTTGTAGCAGGGCATGCTGAAACATCAAGCTTGTTAAAGACTTTTATAACATACATCATCATAAGTCGCATTGCTATGATAGGATAGATTTCTGAAACACAAGAAAAATTACCAAGTTTTCTTCGATGAAGCAGCTAGTAATGCAGGGAGTAATAATGTTTCCACATGCAGTTATGACAAGTAATAGCAGTAAAACGAGGCAAAGAGTTTGATTCTGTACTTACAAGACACTTCCCAGTACACTACTAAACATAATATCAAAGCATTAAAAAATTGTACTGAATTGCTAAGCACAGAGGCTTCCCTCACATCTCCTATTAACAGAACATGCTATTGTACTGGTCAGTGACAAAGATTGGCACTTTCCTGTTTAGTTAATCAAAAAAAATTGTGAACTATGTGTGACAAAATATTTTTACAACTGACAAATGGGTTGGAAAAGGGGACGATTCACTCATCCTACAGAAGACTAAGGGGCAAACAAAATCAAATTGTTCTGAAGACATTCCTTACAAAAGAAAGCATTATGAAGAAGCTACAGAAATCACAATCACTGAAGACAGCAAGTCAGACGTTTCATAGAAACGTATGAGAACTCTGACTAGTGTCATACAAAGAAGGACAGGCAAGAGCTTTACAAGAATATGAAAAGCCCTATTCAGTAAAGACAAATCATCTGCAACCACTTATGTTATAGTCATACAATCACAGAACAGCATAAGTTAGAAAGGACAGTAAAAGGCCTATCCAGTCTCACTCCCCTGCCGTGGGCAGGGCTGTCCCTCCACCAGCTCAGCTATCCACAGCCCCGTCCAACCTGGCCTGAGTGCCTCCAGGAATGGGGCACCCACAGCTTCTCTGGGCAGCTGTGCCAGCGCCTCACTGTCCTCTGAGTAAAGAATTCCCTCCTAACATCCAATCTAAATTTATCCTCCTTTAGTTTAAAGCAATTTCTCCCTTGTCCTGTTATTATCTGTCCAGGATTTGCTGACCAGGATGGAAAAAACACTGATTCTTTTTCTTTTTAGTCAATACTCAACACCCTCAGTGACAAAACTCCAGGTGCTAGCAGATATCTCCTGGAAAATCATCCTAGGGTTAAATAAATGCAGTCTTGCCTGTACACCACACCTTTGTGATTGATATCAGCAGTAAAGAAAATACATAACTGTATAGTGCCACTTTTGAAGGCAGTATGATAGTTGCTAATTTCAAGCAGTTCTGAGGAACAATTAGAAGTTGCAAATTTTTATCAGCCCCTTTCAAAAATTGCAAAATATTAATATCCCTTGATATTCACTAACCTTTGAATTTTGCAACCTTAAACCCTTGACAGTGCAGCCTATAATGTGCCCCTACACCTCTGTTAAATGCAGAAGATCCTGGATCAATTACTGTCAATGGCTCTCACTTAATGTCCCATGAGATATGGGAAAAGGATAACCTCCATGCAGATGCCATAACTTGCCTCTCCCTAACAAACTCCCATTCATTATGGCTAAGCTGTAACAGTGGAAGTCAATGAGTGAGGTTTCCAGAGCAAGACTGAAGCTTTTCCCATAGAAGAACAGCACAAGATAAGGGAGGAGCTGATAGAGCATCCTTCCCAAACTGCAGGGATACTAGAGCCAGCGAAGCACTCTTAAGGAAAAATGTAACTACAGAGCATATACAACTGAGTATCTAGCTGTCAGAGCAGGTGAGGCAGTTCAATATGAGACAAGAACAAATAGACTTGGTGCACCAATCTTTTAGATAAAAAAGTCTAATAAAAGAAAACACTCATTTTTCTGTTGCTGGATTGCCACAAGAACCAGTATGTGGCCAGGTATTTGCTTCTAACAAAAACCTCTTTTGTAGAAAATTCTAGGACTGAAGGTACACTAACTTCTGTTATTAAACTAATCAGCAACTCCAGAATCATTCTGACCTCTTAAGTACAAGGGGCTTCTGCACATTTAAACCCAGATCTATGGACAAAGATAAATACCTTTTAGTCTGCAACCCTTAATACACTCAGGAGAGTCAGCCAGACATTTTGAATTGACCTACAGTGCCCCAAAACACCTACCATCTTTAGGAAACACTGACAAGCACAAAATAGAATACTTTTAAAAGACAGCCATAAGCTTTTCCTTGTAAAAATCCTGTGATTCAACTGAATAAAATCACTGAATGCTAGGTACTATTATATATGACCTGTGTAGATGATGCTGTTATATTAATTATGCTATACTAGAAGTATGGACATCTGCATTAATATCAACTCAGAGAGTTGCTCAGGCACCAGAGACCTCAGGAACTAATCAGTTCACTGTTTTATCAAAGGCAATTAGCTCTGATGAGAGGCAAAGATATTGGCTCCAAGCAATGCTGTGCTAACAACATCTACTGCTTCCAAGACCTGATGGATTATGTCTGCAGAGAACGGTGATGAGCTGTGTGAATATATAAACTTACCCAGGAAGCACTGCATTGTACAGTACCTGGCGTTTAGGCAGACCTCTGAGGATACTCATCTTTATGATTGTAACTCCCTTCAAAGCAACCACCCACCAAACCTGTGCAAAGACACTGACGAGCAGAAGAATGGAGCTGGCTATAGACTAAAGAAATGGTAAGGAGCTACCAAGAGTCCCCATGGGAATAAGGGTTTGTCCGGTCTTACCTTTCCCTTAAAGTTCCTTACATGCATATGTACATACATATGCCATCCAATGCTCAGATTTAAACCCAATTTATGGATAATGGCTGCCTATTTTTGGAAGAGCTTTCATCTTTTCTCTGTGCTCTATTGATTAAGAGAAAGACATGAACGTGTAACTTTCTCCTCTTTTCTCCTGCTAGTCAGTAGAATCACAGAATTACCAAGGTTGGAAAAGACCTTACAGATCATCCACATCAACTATCCACCTATCACCAATATTTCCCACTAAACCATGTCAGTCGGTACAACATCTAAATGTTTCTTGAGCACCTCCAGCAACGTGACTCCACCACCTCCCTGGGCAGCTGTTCCAGCATCTAACCACTCTCTCAGAGTAGTATTTCCTAATGTCCAACCTGAATCTTCCCTGGTGCAACTTGAGGTCATTCCCTCTAGTCCTATCGCTGGTTACATGGGAGAACAGGCTGACTTCCACCTCACCACAACCTCCCTTCAGGTCATTGTAGAGAGTGATAAGGTCTCCTCTGAGCCTCCTCTTCTCCAGACTGAATCTCAGTTCCCTCAGCAGCTTCCCATAAGGCTTGTGCTCCAGACCTATGACAACTTTGTTGCTCTTCTCTGAACATGCTCTAGTGCCTGTCATGTAGGGAGGGACCCAAAACTGAGCACAGCACTCGAGGTGGGGCCTCACCAGTGCTGAATACAGAGGGACGATCACTTCTTTGCTCCTGCTGGCAGCACTGTTTCTATTTCTCTATTTAGCAATTCAGAGACCTAAACTAACTGGATCTATTTCTTCTAACTATGATTGCTAGACTGTATTAACAATGAGTCCTTTTATTGATTTACTGTAACTTTAAATAAATAAATAAAACAGAATGAATGTACTGCACATGAATCTTTGCCTGGAGCAGTAGAAGTTAGGATTCAAAACAAATCTAGAAGAACAGTTTTTAAGAAGTGGGAAGACAAATGGACAGGAAAGTGTAAAAACAAGTCTAAGAAGTCCTCTCTTATTTCCAAAACAAAAAAATAACTTTGAGTATATACTCCAAAATAATAAGTTACAGATAATAGACTATTTCTTATAAGGTTTCAGGGTTGTTTGTTTGCTTTGTTTTTAAATTAAATTAAACCAGAAATACAATAAAAGAGCATTTCCTTCGGTCCTCATTCTGCATTCTCCAAAGACTGAAGTGCCAGGTGGCACTGCCTATAAGGTCAGCAGAAGGGAGCAATATGCATATCTCAGGCTTTAGTAAGACATGCATGATTTGATGCCATATGTTGCTCACAAAACAGCTTTCTGAGTACGGTATTAAGTTCCTTCTTACAACCCCAGATTTCAGTGAGAAAAATGTTGGGTGACCCAGAGCTTTAAATAAAGAACCAAAATTGATTATCATTCTGATATATATATTCATGTATATACGTGAATTAATATCTTGACTCACCACTCTGTTCATTTCTTTTCCTTTACCTTGCTCTGTGATGCTCTTTTGAACTTCATGCATCCACTCATTTCTGAAAGTAGAACAAGAGTCCTTGGAAATAAAACTCAAAGGCAAAATTTCTTCAAATAATGTGTAAAGCAAGAAGGAAAGCCAGTGACTTTTGTATTTCTAAAGGCATCACACCTGACCCAAAGCCTCAAGCAGGAACCAGGAATCATTTTCCCCTTGATTGTTTCCTCTGATTATAGCCAAGTAATTTCTGCAGCTTGCAAGAAGAGAAAAAATAAAAACGGAAAAGTTCCTTGCAAAAGCACAGAGCTAACGAAAGCTAACACTCCAATTATTTTCACGCTCACACCAGCTCACCAAAAACAAAAAAAAAAAAACAAAACAAAACAAAAAAAAACCCCACCTCTGCTACTGAGTACTCCATATTTGAATGGGAACACGCCACATATCTCCTAAAACTCTTGTTATTCACCTGTATTGGTTCAAAAACCTCAGCTCTGGATACAAAGCAGACAACTACCCTACAGCAGATACTACAGCAGACATGACAGCTGACATGGTTTATTCCAGAAGTTTCTGCCTGCACAATCTCTTTTACCTTTGATTATGAGTACCTGGTTGAATATTTCAGACTCAGAAACATCTTCAGCTGCTTCCCTAAAAGCAGCCTTAACAATTTATTCTACCACATCTGTCAGCCATACCAACTAGAACTACCATATTTCCTGCACCCAGCCTTGCAATCACATCTGCTGAAAACAGATGGCTGAACTGAAATCCATAGCTCGGTTTCTGAAGACCACCTAAGGAGTTTTCAAATCCACTCAAGAGAGCTATAAGGGTGTGTGCACACACAGAGGAGCAGTGGTTATGATGATTAACATCTGTCCCCCTGCCTGTTGCAAGACTTCCACCACTGTCATTCCCATTGCCGCTATCCCAGCTGACAAACCAGTGAAAGATTCCTTCATCAGAGCCTTTCAGTATAACCTCTGCAGATCAGTACAGACACGAGCATGTAAGCACCCTCACACCGAGAGTTTATACACACAGTACTCGAATGCGAAATTACATGCTTGTAATATAATGCAAGCAAACTGTCTCTGATGCAGGGAACACCTACATGAATGCAGTAACTAGCTATAGCAAGCTTTTTGTTTGTTATTGAATACAAGGTGTATTACATAAATATCTTAAGATTGAACACAGAGAATATTCCCAGATTCCTTCTACTCTATCAGTTAAAAAGCAAATAAAGAGCTGCAGGCCCTGGCACACCATGGGATATCTAGCCCTGCTAGGAAGCCCAACCAGCGTTCCCACAGGATGCTAACATTACCTTGAAAACTGATTCTGAAACAACAGTGCTGCACTTGAACTAATGCTCCCTCTGTCAAGGAGCAAGGAAGGAAAGAATTTCAGCCCCATATTGCCTTTGCCTACCAGGTTTCAGAAAGCCTGGCATGCATAGAAATACATTTTATAGAACAAGATATATAATAATAAAAGTTTTCTTGGTTTTGGTGGGGAGAAGGAATTTATTTATTTATTTTAAATAAACACTTTCCATTTAATCCTTTTGGAAGTTGGTTCATCACACAATAGAAGAGCTTACATGGCCTGAAATCTAAGCCAATAGATCCTTAGACTTCCAGTAGAGGATCTATCAAGACTAAAAGAAAAAGCAAAAGAGCCTCCTGATGCTGATAGTACATGACTTGTACACTAATTAATCCCTTAAAAAAAAAAATCAATAGAGATGCAAAATACGGCAGCTACTTCAGGAAATAATATTACATTTACAGATAGTATGTACTCACTTGCGCTGTAAGAAACATCCCATAGCCTTGGAAGAAGTCACAAGTATGATAAGACATTTCACTACTATAACAACAGCATAAGTACTGGTCCTACAAGCATGAAGAGCTCCAGATTCTGCTTCACCTGTGGAGTTTGGCTTCTGCTGCTATCAGGCAAACTTCAGGCATTTACCTGTTTTTCTGCACCAGGCATCAAGGGATAAGGAATCTCAACTTCATTTAAACTCACTGTGGCACTGGCATGACCCATATTCCCAGGACAGCAATTCCTTCCCAACTTCCTGAACCTCATCCTCCTGCTGCACAGTCTTAGGAGAACTCGAGATAAGCCATAGTGCTGCCCTAGAGGCTTGAGAATGGCACAGATGAGGAAGAAGGACAGGAACACCTATGACCTGGCCTACCAAAATTACTAAGCTATTCTTTAATCAACACGCACACAGTAGCAGTCTGGCTTTTGATTACATCAGGCAGAGAGTCTTAGAGCCAAATCCATATTGCTCCTGGGACACTGCAGGAACACTCCAGATTGGAACTGATTATCTGTACACGCACAGGACCAGCACTCAGTTTGCATCTTGTGATGCATATGCAGATAGGTATGTGCATGACTCCAAACAACACCTTCTAAATGGTTCTAGGTTTAAGTTTCTCAAAATTACAACTTCTATATTTACACATTCACAAGAGAAGTTTTTATTTCCCCCTCCTTAAAGCAACCAAAGATTGCTGGCCCTTGTACTAGAAAATAAAGGCATAAAAACATGACCCAGGTATATCTCAATATTCAAAATAAAAAGGCAAGTAAGAACAACTTGATTATTAAAGTATTCCGATTTATAGCCTGCTGTATCGTGACTAAGTTTTTCAAATACTGTGTTAACTGAGATTTCCAGTGTAATTATAATCAGTTCTTTATCATTTCCAGAGACAGCAATATTCTCCATGCCAACCTCAAAAAGATAGCTTGCATCACAGATAAACTGCATTAGGATACACTGACAATCATATCACAGCAGCAATACTGCACAGCATACTTGAGGAGGAAGTATTTTCACCCTTACCAGATACCACCAAAAAGTTGCCAAAGAAAGCAAGAAGAGTCTGCTAGTGCCTTCATAGGTCCTTCAACAATGGTGCAACTTCAACCATTAAACAGTTTTAACATCCATTTCTGCACAGAAGTAAGATTCAAGTAAGCAGCTCCTCTGCTCTGTCCTCATATCTTTCATTTCTCTGTGACTCTCCATCTTCCCCCATCAAATGATAAGAAGCTCCCACAGAAACTTTTTTAGGTGGGTAAATATCAAGCAGAACACAAGTAAAAAAAATCATATGATAAGCAGTCTTACTGTCTGCCAACTTCCCACCTTCGGGAGGAATGTACAGAAATTCATCTGAGTAATATATATTACAGAAGCTTTCACTACCAGAAACAGTGGAATCAGCATTTTATTTTGTTGGTGAGTTTTGTTTTTTACTTTATTTTTTCCAGTTTTCAACTTACTCCTGAGAGGAAACCCTACCAAATGGGGACAAGTTATATGTCAAAATTGGCAAGCATTACAACAACCAGCTTTTCATATACCTGACTACTTAACGATGCCTATTCGCCAATGGACAGACAGGAAAAAGCTGAGGATAAGTGATTGCTTACTTGCTGCTTATCACCCTTCCTTATCCTTCATTCTTTGTGTTGCTAGCTGCTCAGCAGCTGCCCCGGACATAATGCCACAGTGTTTTCATGAATCTCACAAACGAGGATGTGCAGACAGTGTTGCATAGCAGCAGTGTCGAAGCTCCTTGCTCTCCTCTCTCCCACAGGCAATGAACACATCAATCCTCTAACCTACTTTGCTTTTGCTGGTCTGGCAGCTTGAGTTGGTGTGCTCTCAGTAGGCATTACAACAGCACAGGACTTGTTGAATAACCAGGGAATAATAGTCTGGGAACTCACCCAAGCCTCCTATCCCCTTGCCTCAGGGAAGACCAGATAGATATAAACCACTCATGACAGATTTGTCTTACCTGTTCTAATCAGTCTCCAAAAACAGACTCATGGCTTCCCTAGGCAACTAATCTAGCACTGAGCTATTTTTCTCAGTATTTTTTTCCACCTAAGCCTGGGGAAACATCTCATGCTACAATGTGATCCCTTCGTTTCTCTCCCAGTCCACCACAGACACAGTGGAAAAGAACAGGCTGTTTTCTTTACACATTCCAGTCTTTTCCACACAGACTGAACAAAACCTCTAAGTATCCTTTGCTGGTTATACTGTGGACTCTCCACATTTTTCTCCGGGCTCAGGGACCCAAACAGAAGCCTTACAAATGCTGATTTGTGAGATTATTATTCATGCATTTAGGATGAGAGGTAGTAGCCTTAAGTTGCACCAGGGGAAGTTCAGGATTGGATATTAGGAACCATTTATTCTCAGAAAGAGCAATGAGGCACTGGAACAGGTTGTCAAGGGAGGGGATGGAGTCATCATTTCTTGGAGGTGTTCAAGAACTGTGTGGACGTGGCACTGAGGGACACGGTCAGTGGGTATGTAGGGATGGGTTGGCAGTTGAATATGATGATCTTAGGTCTTCTCCAACCTTAATGATTCTATGATTCATAATGTGCATCCTATCCCTCCTATCCACATGCTCAGAGACTGCCGCACCAGAGCTTAAAGGTACAAAAGAAAAAAAAAAAAAAAAAAAGCATTTTCTATTGTTTTGAATAGGTTTGGGATAACTTAGAGCCAATAAACATGTTCTAGTTCCTCAGCAGCTACAAATACAGCCATCACGCTGAGCTTGTCAATCCAGCATTCCAGTCAGATCCCTCCCCACCCTGACGGATGCATTTCTGACGCCTCAGTTGATGCTTCTAAAAAATGCAGAACACAGCTTTGCTGTGTAAGCTCAGTACCAAGTCCCACACTATTACCAACTTTTCTCATGATGGTCAAAATCTCAAATATCTGGGCATGATCAACTCCTGGATTCCAAGGCAGCCCCAGAACACATGCCACACGGAGAACAACTCAGTGAAGTGGCAAGGGGACCACAAAACAACGTAAGGACAGAGGAGAGGGCAGCAGCAGAGGAAGACTGTTTCTAGTGCACTTAACATCAGGATTACTTGCTATGGTAATTGCTGTTATGCATTGCTGGTGATAACAGACATAGATCCCAATTATGGCTTCTATGTTTTGCCTGAGTATTTACTGAATGGGATGCACAACATTTGCCTGCTAGGCAATATTTTTGCCTCCTGTAATCTTAAGGGTAATTACAATTTTTTAAAACATCTGCATACCTGAAGAACTACTGTATGTACATGCAGGTGGACTTAGCTACTTCAAGAAAAAAACAAAAGGCTAAAAAAAAAAAGGAGATGGTTAAAAACACCTCCTATATTAAAGATTACCTAACATTTTCCTTCTTCATTAAGACCCTGCGAGTTCTTCTGTGCAGGGCTTGCTCTCAATGAATTCTTCTCCCAGTTTGTACTCATATCTGGGCTTACCTCGACCTGAGTGCACCAACAGTTGGGTGGGGCTGAGGTTCTTTCATCACTGCCCAGTGACAGGACAAGGGGCAACAGGCACAGACTGGAACACAGAAAGCTCTATATAAAAAAAGAGAGAAAAAAGTTCTTTGAGAGAGACAGAGCTCTGAACAGGCTGCCCAGAGAAGTGGTGAAGACTTCTTCTCTGGAGATATTCAATACCTGCCTGGACCCTTTCCTGAATAACCTACTGCAGGGAACTTGCTTTAGTAGGAGGACAAACTCAATCTGCAGAGGTCCTTTTCAACCCGTACAATCCTGTGATTATGTGTCTGCACAGAATTATATGGATACTTGTATGTTTACATATATGTGAAAGTACATACACAGGCAGATACATTTATACAACATACACATAATTAAAATTTAAGTGGAAAAAAGCCAGAAATAAAAATTAAGGGATAGAAACAGAGGAAATCAGCTCTCTAACAGTGTTAGTAATGTCATAACATAACAAATATCAGGCCACAACTAAAGCTGATAACCAAGGAGTTAATGGTAGTAAGGCATTAAAAGATGCGCCTAAGTTCTTGTCATATCAAATAGTCCAACTCCAACATAAAATCGTAAGCAAAGGGAACTGCATCAGCTTTAGCAAAGCCTCCTGATTTCTGCCCGCTTGGAGTGGAAATAGCTGAAAAGCAAAGTCCCCAACCAGAGGAGCTGAGCAGGAAGCACAGACTGCGGCTTGCTCCTTCCTGCAGCAAGCAAGCTTAAAGAACTTGCACAGAAACAGCTCACAGTTCTTCCAGCAGCTGCTGCTGCTTATATAGCAATTAAAGAAGAATTTTTAGGGATAAAAATAGGGAAAGAACATTCTCAGGCAATGAAAGAAACACGCAGCAACAACACCGCTTCGTCCAGCCAGAACAACCCAGAATAAGCCAACATAAATAGTACAGTTCTGATTTTCAGGTATAGGATTTGAAAGTGGACCTTCTAAATTTCACAGCTAGTCTCAGTTTGCTTGTATGGCAACAGCACTCAGAGGCTATTATTTAGCTTTGAGGGGAGACAAACCGACATTATTTAAGAAACAAGACAAAACTTCACTACACTGTATGTACCTAGAAGCATTAAATGTGGCCAAACTGAAATATAACAGAAGTTGGGTACAGATTTAAATTTTAAATTTTTATGTTGAATCCTGCCCAACTCTAGGTTAACATTTTACAAGAGAAGCTCTTAAAAGAGGTTTTCAGAACCTTCCTGAAGTAATAAGACATCGGCTGCAGCTTAATCTTTTATTTTATTGCGTAGATCCTCATTATGCTGCATCAAGAAAAGACTCGTGCTTGATTTTAACTGCAGCATGATGAACAAGCTTTCAAAACTCAGAGTCATTCAAAGGCTAATTGTAAAGTCTTATTTGACTCAACAAAAGATATCTCAAAACACTCCAAAAAACCAAGCTGCCTAAGTAGGGCTTCTTACAACTTTTATAGAACAGGAAAGTGATTGATTGGATGCGCTTTGTGCCTTCCAGTACGCACATTATTGTCAGCTCTTTAGACAGGTGAAACAAGGAAAACTAAAAATGGAGAAGAGAAATGGTAAATACTAATACACATCTTGCACTCCAATTTTGTCCCTTGAACTTCACCACTGGCCACCACAGAAATGACAAATGTTGTTTTTAAGATAACTGTGTAAATGAAGAGAAACTGGGGGAAAAGGGGGCAAAAAAAAAATTAATAATATTTTTCTAACACAGGTCACAAGGTTTTAGTTCCAATTACATTTCAGAAGATCATTTCAGTTTCTCAGTAACTAAAAAGAACTGTAGCTTAAATGTTAGTTAAAATGGGCCTTTTAAGGTCAGTTCTCCTCCTCTAGAATTAATCCTAATTTCCATCCTGTGAAAAATCACTAGGAAGAAAGTCATTTCCAAACACTTAAGTATATTTATTGCTCTCATTTCCACACTAATTATGTAGATTAAGGACTAGAATAAAGCAATTTGGTACATATTCCAAGATGAGTGATGTTATTTGCAATCTACTTCAACTGGAAGATTTATACTGGCACCTTGCCTGCAAACTGCAGCAAACTTGCACATACGACAACAACAAAACAGGAAGTGGTTGCTGTCACCTTCCTAGCACAAGGGCACAGCTTATAGGTGGCACCCACCTCAGGGCACGCACCCTGAAATCCAAGTTTGCCTGCAAACTTATGGCTCAGGCTTGCACTGTCAAACACGTGCGATCCTCCAGTTCATCCAACACAGCAAATGCTCACAGTGGAAGATCAGGAAGTTTCTGACTGCAGCAAGAGGTGGAACTTGGTTGGCTGGTGAGGGAATTACACATTTCACTATAATTGAAGCAGCAAAGATCTCAGCACCATCATTATTATCGCAGATGGAAAGGAAATGAAGTGATTTAGTTTATGCCTGAGGGAAAACAATAATTAATCAGCTTGATACAGGGGAAAAAAAGAAAAGGATCAAATTCAGTTTAGTGAGATTTACTACTTAGGGTAATTACACTTTCGAGAGCTGAACTCCTGTACAGTGAAGGATCTAAAGGAACCTAATGGAGAACTGAGAAAGAGAAGTTCACATTTCTCCTCTAGAAATGCTCAATATGACTTGAGGCTAGAGACACCCCCAAAATAAAGCAAACAGTGAAATATCTCGTACACCAAGAGCTTCTGCCTTAGAGACTATGAGTTTCGCCAGTTATGGACTAAGCATAATATCCTCACAAGTCAGCAAATAGCTAAATAATTCATGATAGCATAAGCAGTTGACTCTGTGTCATTGACAAAGTTACACAATTGCAAGGAGGCAGGATGGACCTTGAATACACATTGTGATTGCAGGATTCAGGCTTAAACAAATCGGGGAAATGGAAAGCCACTTCAAAGCTAAACCTCGGAGGAAGCATTCCTGGGAAAAAAAAAGTAATATTTCTACCATACGTCATGGCAGTACAGCCAAGGGAAAAGCAACCAAAGGTCTATAGTCTGTTTGTTCCTGAATGTAGTTGGAGAGAAAAAGTTATTTTGCATTTAACACACAATTCACTTTGAGAATGATCATTTGAGAAAGCATTAATCAGATCTCTTTCTAGGTACACGCAGGCTACCTAACATTTCATGGTCAATTAACGCATTCTAAAAACCAGGAGGTTCAATAGCAGCTGCTCAATTTTAAATTTGCAACCTTTCCCCTCCTTCACCTAACAGTGTTTCAAAGGCATGCCGGTGTTCAGTACAAAAAAAAAAAAAACCACAGTGACCATCAGCAGCAGCTTTCTATAAGTGACTGAAAAACAGACTGAGATCAGAATGTCAGAAAGAGAGCGTTACCATCCTCTGGTCTTACCTTGTGCTCCTTCACGTGTTTAAAACCAAGATGGTTTAGGTACTAAATAATCCCTAATTTGAAGATACGACTGTGGAGGAACTACACATTTCACTATAATTAAAGAAGCAGATATCTGGAGAATTTACTGCATCACAAACAAAAGCTACTCTAAACTGAAAATAAAACAACAGATGGTGAGCAAGACATTAAGAAAGCTGCCTCCTTAAGCTAATGAATTTCACTGGAGATTATCAAAATAAGTGGAGTGGAAAGCATGTCAAAAGCTGAGGAAAACGTAACAATAAATCCAGAGTAAAAACTGAGAGTAGGAACCCTCAATACAACCTCAGCTGAGCGTGAATGCAGTCCCTAATGAATGAAAGAAATATCCCATGGCAAACTGTCTAAAACAGACACTGACTGTAAACCCTTTCCCACCATAATCTGAAGTGTTCAAAAACAAGAGAAGTAAAAGGAAGAAGAAATCAGCTGAGAAAACAAAATCCACACTGGCCCCCATTTAGTCACAAACACTACACACTGCACATTCCCCACACAGCCTACCTGGTGATTATTTGCTGTTTTCTAGAAACAAACATCCATTTACATGGTATCTACTTGGCTGGACAAAGACCTCCTTTTACAAGCCAACGGCCAGTCTGGATCCCACTATTAGTGCTAACGGCTTCTGCCAATTAAGTTGAAATGATGAAAATGGAAAGAACACACAGGCAGGCACAAAGTTAAATCCAACTAAAACCACGTTAGTAATAATCTCTGAGCATTTCACATTGTACATAACCACCATTCACGTGCTGAAGTACACCTTGCAACCTCTGTGTGTCTGCGCTGCATCTTTTCATCCTCAGAGGATCTTGCCCATCTCCATGCCTGCACACAGTTTACACTGGGTGGCAACTGCTGAGCTGCTAACCCAACTCAGATAGGAATTTTTAATGTCAAACAATACCTTTTTCTTAGATAACCTTCACTCATAGAAAAATGTGGAAAGAAGTCTCTGTTTAGAAAGTAGTCTCAACCCTTTCCACACACCCGAAAGTCACAAAGAGAAATGAACAATCAATGGATTATCATCCTTACTTTGTGCTGATAGCAAACCTCAGACTGGACATTAGCAGGAAGTTGAGGTGTTGTTTGGCAGTGCACAAGTGTTGTGACATTGTACTTCAAGGACTACTTTGTATTAGTAAGCTGACATTCATTTCCTACTCTGCCTATATGATGCCCAGTTTTGTAACCTGAGCCTTATTAATGGAACAGGTCAGGTTTGGTCCCTGCTGCCAAAGCAGGAGGATTTGAATGCAACATATTTTTCATTCCTGGCATTTCAGGGAGGTTAGAAACAGACTTTTAATGTTCATCAAGGAATGATGAATGACATTACTCAGAGGCAGCACTGTGATATAAATTAGCCCAATCTATGATCTAGAAGCCAGGCTGTTTCAAATTAGAAATTGTGACTGTTCATATCACAGCTGTGAATGTCTTACAAGCAGGGAACTATATTCCTTTCAGTTATTTCTGATTCCATCCTTACTGGGAAGTAATAGTGAACTTCCTTAGCAACAAGTAACTGCACCTGGGGAGTAATTCAACTCTTCCTGAGGCAGAAAGAGGGATTCAGTCTATCTCACC